GGGGAGGTCGGGGAACAGAGGAGGGGGAGGTGGGGGGATGCGGGGAGGTCGGGGGGCAGGGGGGGGGGGGGGGGGGGCTCCCCCCCCCCCCCCCAGCCGACCCGCTGTGTCCGTGCCCAGGTGCCCGAGGGCCAGGTGGTGATTCTCTCCTTCCGCGTCTTCGACCTGGAGCCGGACCCCGGCTGCCGTTACGACTCACTGGAGGTTTTCAACGGGCACTCGGCCAGCACCCAGCGCCTGGGGCGCTTCTGCGGCACCTTCCGGCCCGGGGCCCTGCTCTCCACCGGCAACCGCATGCTGCTGCGCATGGTGACGGACGAGGGCACCGGGGGCCGCGGCTTCCTGGTCTGGTTCAGCGCCGGCCTCCCCCACGTCAATGGTGAGAGACCCCCGGACCCGCCCCGGCTGGGGGCTCCTGCATGCTCCCCCCCGGGGGGCTGGCTGCAGAGGGACCCCCCAGATAGGTGCATGGACGCTTGATCTCCCAGGGGGTGCTGGGAGCACATTACCCACAATGCCCTGCACTGATGCCAGGAGCAGAGGATGCTGGGTAATCATTACCTACAATGCACCTGCACTGATGCCAGGAGCAGAGGATGCTGGGTAATCATTACCCACAATGCACCTGCACCGAAGCCAGGAGCAGAGGATGCTGGGAGCGCGTTACCCACAATGCCCTGCACTGACGCCAGGAGCAGAGAGGATGCTGGGTAATCGTTACCCACAATGCCCTGCACTCACACCAGGGGCAGAGGATGCTGGGTAATCGTTACCCACAATGCACCTGCCCTGACACCAGGGACAGAGGATGCTGGTAATCATTACCCACAATGCCCTACCCTGACGCCAGGAGCAGAGGATGCTGGGTAATTGTTACCCACAATGCACCTGCCTTGACGCCAGGAGCAGAGGATGCTGGGTAATTGTTACCCACGCCGGCTCCTCCGCGGCTGTCGTGACCCCCCCATGCCTGCGCCCCATGTCTCCGGCTTGCATGGCCCCCGCCTGCCCCCCAGCGGCTCCCCCCACCCATCCCAACCTGCGGGACTTTTGCAGGCCGGCCGCGCGGAAGGCCGAAGTGGGGCGCTAACCATATAGACTCCCGGTTGGCCGGGGAGCCCTGGCACTATTGGGATGGTGAGTATCCGGCCGCCTGCCTCCCCCCCGCCGGCAATGGCCCCCCCCCCCGCAGGGATGGGGGAGGGCTGGGGCGGGGCGCAGAGACCGGCCACCCCAGCCCTGGGGGAATGCTGAGGCCCGGCCCGCCCAGGCTCTGCCCCCCGGGGGGCGCCATTGTGGTCGGATCGCGGCCTGGGGCAAAGGGGCTGGAGGAGGATGCTGGGAAATCGTTACCCACAATCCTCTGCACTGACGCCAGGAGCAGACAGGATGCTGGGAGCACGTTACCCACGATGCACCTGCACTGACGCCAGGGGCAGAGAGGATGCTGGGAGTGCGTTACCCACAATGCACCTGCACAGACAGGGGTGTGACGATGGGGGGGTTCCCCCCCCCCGTCCTGTGCACTCCCAGACCAGCCGCCTTCTCCCCCCAGTCTGGGATCTGACCCCCACATCGCCGTCCCATTGCTGTGTCCGGTGGGGGCCGATGGGGGGGGGGGGGCTTGGCTGCTGGACAGGGCGAGACCCCCC